TGGTATGTCCTTCCACTCCGCAAAGACGTGACATGGGTCTCCGTGGTATGTCCTTCCACTCCGCCAAGACGTGACATGGGTCTCCGTGGTATGTCCTTCCACTCCGGCACCGCACAGATCCAGTAAGAAGTGACACGACTCTTGGTGGTTATTTATCTTGTTTTTTTGCGTAGGTGTTTTACGGCGCTCACAACTGCATAAAGTCATATTATGAGCACGCGGGACACACCAAACATTTTCATTAGGTTGGAAATTTTGAATTTTGCCCGGGTGGCGGCCGAAGCCTACTCTTCACGGGGGCCCTCCGAGATTTTTCGCCTTTGTCTGAAGAGGCTAGGTGTTGATCTTTCCTACCAGAAGGTCAGGTGTGCGGCTGAAAGACAGCAGTAAGAAGGAGCTAAGGAGTAGCAGTAGAAAGGCTGCAGAAAGGAGCCAGGAGCCCTTTAAGGCCACGAGAGCCCCCCTCAGTGATATGTCCTTCCTCTTCGCCATCAACTCAGAACTAACTTGTACATTAATGCATGCGCAGTATCTATCTGGAGATAGACCAATCAAAATGCTTTGTACCTCTGGACCAAGTAAAAAAGTCTGGGGGCCCCATGTTTTAACCCATGATTTGATATTTAGCCGTTAGGTTTGAAATCTTCTTGAAAACAATTGATTTGCGACAGTTTTAGTGGCCACAGAAAACAATAGTACTGCAGTTGACCCCCCAAAGCAGTGCATCTCTGTGCGGAAGTGTGTCACGGAATACTGCCGAATAGTTTCTGGGTGCTCGCCGGAGACGTCTCCGAATAGCTTCTGCTAACTTTAATGACCCACGGTTGGTGCGCACCCTGCGCTCTGGGCTGTCCCAGGAGGGCTCTGGCCTATACGTTCTTATTCTACCGTCGAGGCTCTGGCTGTTAGGTGGCAGGAAGAAAACGATCTCTTCCGTGGCAATAAGACCAATCTGGCGATCTTGTTGTGCGGTGGTGGCCATTGGTGACCCCGTCCTTAAATGATCGGTGACACTGCTAGTTGTGTGGAAACGTTCTTAACCCTATCCGTATGCCTTGGAGGTAATTTTATACCTCCGGGGTTGTATTCTTCACATTTTGCAATACTTCTAGTACAAAGATCTCTTTGAAACTTTCAGTATTTCTAAAAAGAATCATTTAGACAGACTGCTTTGCAAAGCGTACGGATGGAATTGACGAGAATTTCCTCTTTGAAGAGTGGTTGCTCAGAGTTCCCCACGTCGAATGAATACGATAGTAAAACACGACGTACGAATAGGGTTAAATGATCGGTGACTCTCCTAGTTATGTGGATATATTCTTAGATGATCGGCAAGACTCCTAATTATGAGGGCCACACTCCTAGCTGTGCGGAAACGTTCTTTAATGATGGGCCACACTCCCACTTATGTGGAAACGTTCTTAATTAAAGATCGGTGACACTCCTAGCTGTGTGGAAACAGTCATCCAGCCTCCCAATAGTCTGTTGATTAACGTTAAAGCCTTTAACTTCACCGGCGAGGAGAATCACAGTCGTGTGTGTGTGTGTGTGTGTGTGCGTGTGTGTGTGTGTGTGTGTGTGTGTGTGTGTGTG